TTTTGATTCATAAGAAGTTTGTACCAGGGTTTACCATATTAGTTTTAAATTTTAACCACACGCCTTAAAATGATATTGAAATGTTTTCATAATAAAATGGCTCATTTACAGCATTCTTATTTTATATTTTAAAAATTCTTATTTTATATTTTAAAAATAATTTTAAAAAAAAATTAAAAATAAACAATATTATTGCCACACTTTGAATTACAAACCTCATATCTTTTGACTTGAATTAGTCATTAGATCCGTTTAAATAAAAACTCTCATATTGGTCTTTTTTAGGTATTATGTTTGGTGTAGTTGGAGTTGTTTTACACTTGTTTAAAACAATAAAATGTTTAGTTGGGGCATGTTTTCTTCTAGTTACCAACCTACACTTGACTAGTCTGGGACATCATCCCTTTACTTGTACAGGCCTGACCAAGGAAATATTCTTAACTTGATCGAACATAGAATCAACAAGGTGGTAGTTTCCCCTCCACGTTTGTTAGTTTACACAAGAAGGTGATAATAGTATCGTTGGACTAAAAAAAATGGAGGCACATTTTTTCACCATTGCAATGTAATTTTCTTTCACCTAAAGCCATGTGGCGTGATTATTAACAAGAGGATTACTCCTATGTTATTGATTAAAATTTGATTTTTTAATAAAATTAATAAAAATATAAATTTTTAAAATTTTTTAATTTCAACATGAATGATTTGCATTATATTAAAAAAAAAAGATTTTAATGTATATATAAAATATTAGTGTTTGTTCGCCTTACATCCAAAAAATTAGAAAGAAAAATGACAAAAAATACATTAATTTATGTTTTAAAAATATGATATTTTAAATTTTTTTCAATAGGTGTTTATTAAAATAACGTAATTTTGAAATAATATTTCTCATAATTTTTAGCAAGTAAGGCAAATAAGCATTACTTCTTATGCATAAACTAGTTAAAAAAACTCTATACTGTTATAAAAAATGATAATAATTTCTTTCCATTCAAATTGTTTCCAATCTTGCTAAAAAACTGAATTGAGAATTTGAATGCATACATTAGAGACACGTTTGGCACATTTGCTTCAACCTCTATTTGTGATTTTGTTCCACATGTCTTTTCTTTTTGCCAATCCATCAACATATATAGAGAGATAGAGATAATCAACCATTAATCCCTCATGCCAATGTTGTCAATTTCAATCTCTCTTACTATAATAATATACCTTAAATGCACTTATTATTTTTCTCTTTCAAATTTAAAAAGCTTCTCAAGGAAAAAAAAAAAACTTACAAATTCTGCAAAAAAGCTATGGGCCTAATTCTCTTCTAGCAAGCGATACCTCGTTTATCCTTTTCCAAGTTATATAACTCAATAAGCAAAGTTGATTATTTTCTTTTCTTTTTATACTTTTGTAGAATATAATTCGTAGAACAAAGGTGCCCCATAATTAAACAATTGAGTTGTTACTGGGTATTAGGTTTTAAATAATTAATTAATTCCCTCCCTCCCTGTCTCTTTAACACCATTAATTTAATGCAATCATCCATACAAACCTCATTCTTTATCCAAAAGGC